ACTTGGCAACTGCCAAGCTTGGGGGAGTACCCCGGTATCGTATCACCATCACTTTATCTTTACCGTTTTTCTTAATTTGATCCTTTTGGTAATATCTTGATCTAGTAGAGTAAAAGTTCTTCGTATAATCTAGTTGTGAGTTTTGCTTTATTATCCTTCTATGTAATCGAGTCTGTGAGCTATATAATAATGATTAATGTTGAGTCAAGGGATTAATTATTTTGCCATGATTCTCAAGGAATAAAAGAAAAGAGAAAGAAATAAAAAGAAACAAAGAGATCATATGAGTCTTATGGAGAGTAATGAGCTCACATAGAAAGAGTATGATGAATACAAGTTGTTGAGAGTTGACAAACACAGTTTTGGTCATCGTTGCGATTAATAGGAAGGAATAAAGAAAGAGAGGTCTTCACGTATAAATATACTATCTTGGACATCTTTTATGATTGTGAGCACTCAATAAAATATGACATGCTAAAGAGTTAACATTGGACAAGGAAGACAACATAATGGGTTATGTTTTCTTACATCTGAGATAAATTATATTGTCTTGGATCTTCCAACATGATGAGCTTGCCTTTCCCCCTCATGCTACCCAAATTCATTGCACCAAGTAGAGATACTACTTGTGCTTCCAATACCCTTAAACCAGTCTTGACATAAGAGTCCACCATATCTACCTATGGATTGAGTAAGATCCATCAAGTAAGTTGTCATTGGTTCAAGCAATAAAAATTGCTCTCTAAATATGTATGATTGATTGGTGTGGAGGAAATAAGCTTTATACGAGCATGTGATATGGAAGTAATAAAAGCGACAGACTAAGTAACAAAGGTCCATATCACAAGTGCCAATATAAAGTGATGTTCTTTCGCATTAAGATTTGTGCATCCAAACCATAAAAGCGAATGACAACCTCTGCTTCCCTCCGTGAAGGGCCTATCTTTTACTTTTATCTCCTACATTGCATAAGAGTCATGGTGATCTTCACCCTTCCTTTTTACATTTTATCCTTTGGCAAGCACAATATGTTGGAAAGATCCTGGTATATATGGCTAATTGGATGTGAGTTTTCATGAACTATTACTGTTGACATTACCCTTGAGGTAAAACGTTGGGAGGCAAAACTATAAGCCCCTATCTTTCTCTGTGTCCGATTAAAACTCCATACACATAAGTATTGTGTGAGTGTCAGCAATTGTGAAAGATTATATGATAGTTGAGTATGTGGACTTGCTGAAAAGCTCTTATACATTGACTCTTTCCTATATTATGATAAATTGCAATTGCTTCAATGACTGAGATTGTAGTTTGTTAGTTTTCAATGAAGTTTACGATTCATACTTGATATTGTGATTGAATTATTACTCTAGCATTAGAGATCATATGACAAGAATTATATAAGTTGTTGTTCTAAGAATGATCATGATGCCCTCATGTCCGTATTTTATTTTTACCGACACCTCTATCTCTAAACACGTGGACATATTTTTCGATTTCAGCTTTTCGCTTGAGGACAAGCAAGGTCTAAGCTTGGGGGAGCTGATACGTCCATTTTGCATCATGCTTTTATATCAATATTTATTGCATTATGGGCTCTTATTACACATTGTGTCACAATAATTATGCCTATTCTCTCTTATTTTACAAGGTTTATATAAAGAGGGAGAATGCCGGCAGCTGGGATTCTCGGCTGGAAAAGAAGCAAATATTAGAGACCTATTCTGCACAGCTCCAAAAGTCCTGAAATTTCACGAAAGATGTTTTCCAAATATATAAAAAATACTGAGAGCACGAACCTCACCAGGGGGCCACACCCTGCCCACGAGGGTGGGGGGCGTGCCCTACCCCCCGGGCGCGCTCCCTACCTCGTGGGCCCCCTGGTGGCCCTCCGATGGCCATCTTCTGCTATATGGAGTCTTTCGATGGGAAAAAAATCATAAGCCATCTTCTCAGACGAAACTTCGCCGCCATAAGGCGGAACCTTGGCGGAACCAATCTAGGGCTCTGGCGGAGCTGTTCTGTCGGGGAAACTTCCCTCCGGGAGGGGGAAATCATCGCCATCGTCATCACCAATGCTCCTCTCATCAGGAGAGGGCAATCTCCATCAACATCTTCATCAGCACCATCTCATCTCAAAACCCTAGTTCATCTCTTGTATCCAATTCTTGTCTACAAGTCCGGGATTGGTGCTAGTAGGTTGCTAGTAGTGTTAATTACTCCTTGTAGTTGATGCTAGTTGGTTTAATTGGTGGAAGATCATATGTTCAGATCCTATATGCATATTAATACCCCTCTGATTATGAACATGTTTATGCTTTGTGAGTAGTTACTTTTGTTCCTAAGGACATGGGAGAAGTCTTGCTATTAGTAGTCATGTGAATTTGGTATTCGTTCGATATTTTGACGAGATGTATGTTGTCTCTCCTCTAGTGGTGTTATGTGAACGTCGAATACATGACACTTCACCATTATTTGGGCCTAGAGGAAGGCATTGGGAAGTAATAAGTAGATGATGGGTTGCTAGAGTGACAGAAGCTTAAACCCTAGTTTATGGGTTGCTTCGTAAGGGGCTGATTTGGATCCATATGTTTCATGCTATGGTTCGGTTTACCTTAATACTTTTGTTGTATTTGCGGATGCTTGCAATAGAGGTTAATCATAAGTGGGATGCTTGTCCAAGTAAGGGCAGCACCCAAGCACTAGTCCACCCACATACCAAGTTATCAATGTACCGAACGCGAATCATATGAACATGATGAAAACTAACTTGACGATATTCCCATGTGTCCTCGGGAGCGCTTTACATCTTATAAGAGTTTGTCCATGCTTGTCCTTTGCTACAAAAAGGATTGGGCCACCTTGCTGCACTTTATTTAATTTTGTTACTTGTTGCTCGTTACAAATTATCTTATCACAAAACTATCTGTTACCACTTATTTCAGTACTTGCAGAGAATACCTTGCTGGAAACCGCTTATCATTTCCTTCTGCTCCTCGTTGGGTTCGACACTCTTACTTATCGAAAGGACTACGATAGATCCCCTATACTTGTGGGTCATCATCCGTCTACCATGCTATACTATCGGGCCATAATCACTCGGGAGGTGATCACGGGTATATACTTATATACATAACATATGATACATGTGGTGACTAAAGTCGGGTCGGCTCGTAGAGTACCCGCGAGTGATTCACGGATTTGGACCGAAACGATGTTGTCCTGAGGGCCCTCTGAGTGGACCTTTGTGGCGGAGCGACAGGGAAGGTTGAGACCACCTAGGAGAGAGGTGGGCCTGGCCTTGGTTGGCGTCCGCGATTACTTCAAAATAACACGCTTAATGAGATCTTGGTATTTGATCTGAGTTTGGCCACTGGCCTATACGCACTAACCAACTACGCCGGAACAGTTATGGGCACTCGACGTCGTGGTATCAGCTAGAGCCTTCACAATGGAAGCAACTGAGCGACGTGCGCCGGATTGGACCGTAAGCCTAGGCTTGCATTAAAGGGGCTGGGTCTGCTTCCGGCCGCGTAGGCAACGTGCAGGTGTGCAATGGGCGATGGGCCCAGACCCCTGCGCGCATAGGATTTAGACCGACGTGCTGACTTCTCTGTTATGCCTAGGTGGGGCTGCAACGTGCTGATCTTCCGAGGCCGGGCATGACCCAGGAAAGTGTGTCCGGCCAAAGGGGATCGAGCGTGTTGGGAAAGGTGGTGCACCCCTGCAGGGAAGTTTATCTATTCGAATAGCCGTGTCCCTTGGTAAAAGGAGGACCTGGAGTTGTACCTTGACCTTATGACAACTAGAACTGGATACTTAATAAAACACACCCTTCCAAGTGCCAGATACAACCCGGTGATCGCTCTCTCATAGGGCGACGAGGAGAGGATCGCCGGGTAGGATTATGCTATGCGATGATACTTGGTTAACTTACCATCTACTCTCTTCTACTGCTTCAAGATGGAGGCTGCCAGAAGCATAGTCTTCAATAGGACTAGCTATCCCCCTCTTATTCTGGCATTCTACAGTTCAGTCCAGATATACTACCCCTTTCATTGATACAAATGCATATGTAGTGTCGCTCCTTGCTTGCGAGTACTTTGGATGAGTACTCACGGTTGCTTTGCTTCCCTCTTTTCCCCCATTCTATACATGGTTGTTGCGACCAGACATTGGTGCCCAGGAGCCAGCCACCACCATCGACGACGACTCCTACTACACTGGAGGTGCCTACTACTATGTGTAGGCCGCTGACGACGACCAGGAGTTGTTTAGGAGGATCCCAGGTAGGAGGCCTTCTCGTCTTTCCATCTGTATCCCAGTTTGTGCTAGCCATCTTATGGCAACTTGTTTAACTTACGTCTGTACTCAGATATTGTTGCTTCCGTTGACTCGTCTATGATCGAGCTCTTGTATTCGAGCCCTCGAGGCCCATGGCTTGTAATATGATGCTTGTATGACTTTATTTCATTTTTAGAGTTGTGTTGTGATATCTTCCCGTGAGTCCCTGTGATCGTACACGTTTGCGTGTATGATTAGTGTACGATTGAATCGGGGGCGTCACAAGGAATTATGCTTGCGGATGCTTGATAAGTCTCCAACGTATCTATAATTTTTGATTGTTCCATGTTATTATATTATCTGTTTTGTATGTTTTACTAGCAAAAGGGCCCATGCTTTGCACCGAGTAGAAAACAAAAAAGAATGTAAGCACTCGTCCTGCTTAAAACCACTATATTGGCCTTTTTCCATGGTATTAATGTAGAATGGAACATAAGTTGGTGAAGAAGTTATCCAAAAAGTACGTCCTTTTATCACTACTATGTCTGCCACATGATAGAAACATTTGCTACAGACGGCAAAAGGATGGTAATGCTTTGCAATTACTTTGTTTTGTTTCATACAATGACATCGTATAAAATGATATACTAACTAACCTTTACTTTCATTTTCAGTATTTTGGGGTTCCCTTTTCTAAGAGCTCCCTTTTCCCACACATGGATGCTGACCATGGTGAACTGCGAATCACTACTGGAGACGGAACTACCGTTGTCACAGCCTGCTTTATCATGGGTGTTGACAAAAGGGCCACCATCACTAGAGGCTGGAGTGACTTCTTCCATCAGGCGCACATGGATAAAGGTCAAGTATATGCTTTTGACTTCAAATGCACTTCCAAGGGACTGCGCCTGATCGTCTACTCGATATAAGCAAGTTGCAAGAGCCCCTTGTTATATAACTTAGCATTAGTATAGATACCTACTAAGACTTCTATGTTTATCATTTGTCTATTGCATGTTCTCTGCTCATTGCAGGTATGCAAGCTCTGCCTTTTGAAACTCTTGGTGTAAAGAAAAATATTGTTGTTTTCCCTATCAAGAATATTAGCTCGAATAAGTCCAGATGTATGCCAACTGAAAAGGCTATTATGCCTTTATTTTCATATGTTTCGTTTTGTACCTACATATTTCAATGCACACTCTTTCAGTACTTGGCTGCCACTCGGCCTTTGCGCCATGGGCGCAATGGGTCATCTAGTTTAGGTTGAAGGTAATGACATGTGAAGACAATGGAGTGCGAAGACATTGTTTCTTTCGTAGTTTCATTTTCTTATTTCTTGAGTCATAGGAACCACCAAACTGTTAAGTGGGGTCTAGGTGAACAAAGTCAGAAGACTGATGTGATGCTCCACCCAAATCCTATGTCTTCAAGTGAACACAATGAGAGTAAATCTTATCCTGAGTTGGATATGTCAACTTTGCTTCTAGACCAAGCCAAGTAGCCGCGTGTTTTTGAAATCCGTCCGTTGGACTGATGTCTGCTAGACTACATCGGTATTTCCCCAAAGAGGAAAGGATGATGCAGCACAACGTTGGTAGGTATTTCCCTTAGTGATGAGACCAAAGTTATCGAACTAGTAGGAGAACCAAGCAATACTACGTAAACAGCACCTGCACACAAATAAAAAATAATCGCAACCCGACGTGTTAAAGGGGTTGTCAATCCCTTTCGGGTAACAGCGCCAAAAATTGGCAAACGGACATGATAAAAATATGATAGATGGGATAAATAGATCTCAGATAAAATAAATTGCGGCAACGCATTTTTTGTATTTTTGGTTTAATAGATCTTAAAATAAAAGCAAAGGCAAATAGACCGCAAAGGCAAATATATTAAAGAAGAGACTCGGGGGCCGTAGTTTTCACTAGTGGCTTCTCTCAAGAAAAATAGCAAACGGTGGGTGAACAAATTACTGTTGGGAAATTGATAGAACTTCAAATAATCATGATGATATCCAGGCAATGATCATTATATAGGCAACATGTCCAAGATTAGTAGACCGACTCCTGCCTGCATCTACTACTATTACTGCACACATCGACTGCTATCCAGCATGCATCTAGTGTATTAGGTTCCCCTTGAACATGACATAATGTAGACAAGATCTATTTATGTAGAAATAGAACCCATATTGTTATCCTTAATAGCAATGATACATATGTGTCAGTTCTCCTTCTGTCACTGGGATCAAGCACCGTAAGATCGAACCCATCACAAAGCACCTCTTCCCATTGCAAGATAAATAGATCAAGTTGGCCAAACAAAACCCAAATATCGGAGAAGAAATATGAGGATATAATCAATCATGCATATAAGATATCAAAGAAGACTCAAATAACTTTCATGGATAAAAAGAGATAGATCAGATCATAAACTCAAAGTTCATCGGATCCCAACAAACACACCGCAAAAGAATTACATCATATGGATCTCCTAGAGACCATTGTATTGAGAATCAAATGAGAGAGCGGAAGCCATCTAGCTACTAACTATGGACCCGAAGATCTACAAAGAACTACTCACGCATCATCGGAGAGGCACCAATGGACATGATGAACCCCTCCATGATGGTGTCTAGATTGGATCTGGTGTTTCTTGAACTTGCGACGGCTGGAATTGATTTTCGTTGACTCCCCTAGCATTTTGGGAATATCTGGGTATTTGTAGAGTAAAGAGGCGGTCCGGTGGGCACCCCAGGTGGGCAGGGCATGCCTGGGCCTCCAGGCGCGCCTTAGTGGGTTGTGCTCCCCTTGGAGCACCCCCAGGCGCTTCTCCGGCACATTTGGATGTCTTATGGTCCAAACAAAATCCATAAAAAGTTCCGCTACATTTAGACTCCGTTTGGTATTGATTTCCTGCGATGTAAAAAACATGCAAAAACAGCAACTCGGACATGGCACTATGTCAATAGGTTATGTCGGTGTACAAAAAGAGGGGTACACTTTTTGTACCCCTATAACTGTGCACGGGCAGTCTGAGCCGCAGACACCACCACACCAAGCAAGGCAAGGGAGGTGAGCCAGGGTAAGACCGAAGCTCAAGAGAACTAGAACGACGCCAAGGCCAAGACCACGAAGAGCAAAGGGGATGAAGCGGACTCCCCCGGCAAGATCCTTGCCGGGAGACAGTTCTAGCAGCCCCGGCAAGACCCTTGCCGCGGCGACTCGTCCCGCGCCTACGGAGCAAATCGCCCTTGAGTCCACTGCCCCCAAAGGGCAAGGATACGGGAGACATCCCCGTGGCGGCATGCAGATCTTTGTGAAGACATTCAAGATCAGATACGCACTAAGGAGACGACAACCCTTGGCGGGATCCCAGCCGAGGAAGACCACAAGGCCCCCGGCAAGCGCCTTGCCGGGGATGACAGCAGGCGCCTCGGCAAGTCCCTTGCCGGGGCCCCGGCAAGGCCCTTGCCGAGGACACCCGCGGGGCCACCATCAGGCCCACACCGACTAAACCTCCACCACCTCATGCATGTAGCTGCCGACCCAACCAGCTGGGCAGGCACCTGCGTGGCGGCATGCAGATCTTCGTGAAGACCCATCACTGCGCCACCTCAGCTGCCTGCCTACCTACGTGGCATCGCAGGTGTCGCTGGCCAGGGCGCGTGTCGACACAAGAAGGAGCGGCGACGGACAAGACAGGTTTCTCCCCTGTCCCCGATAAAGCAAGGACACCTAAGCAAGACGCATTAAATGCGCCTTGTCATGTAATGCGAGGGATAACCTCGCATCACTGTACACTTTCCACCTCCTGTGTGCCACTGTGGCAACCCCTTTTTCTATAAAAGGAGGCCCGAGGAGACCAGGAGAAGGATTCGGCTTTTTGGAGCTCCTCACGCCCCATAGCTAGCTCAAGAAGACAGATATACAATCCACCAAAGCAGGAGTAGGGTTTTACGCATCCTCGCGGCCCGAACCTGGATAAACGAACCGCGTGCTATCTGTTTGATCCGCTCTTCTCATGACCCTGTGCTCTGCTAACCACAGTAGGGATTCTTGTGATCCCATAGGTGTCGTTCCCACCGACATCTTTGGCGCGCCAGGTAGGGGGCGCAATTGTGAGAATCGGCTTTAGCAGTTAGTTCGGCACCTCTTCATCATCATGGTGCCCAAGAAGAAGACGACGGTGGCGGTTGGCCAGTCGGAAGCCGGACAGCCGTCCCAACGCGGGCGAGCAGCGGACCGGTCGCAGAAAGGATCCGGGGCACTGATCGCGAACACCAACACCATCCCAGCAGCCGGAGTTTGGGAGGCGGCGATGTTTGTGCGCCTGGTAAGGGTCCACACGTCGCCAAATCCAAAGGCGGAGCCCAGCCCTTCGCGGGTGGAGCGGGGCCTTCCAAGGTCATCGCCGCCCCGCCCGAAGGCGACGCAAGGACCTCCAAGACTCCCACGCCGGCGCCAACAGCGTGCTCCTCCCAGGCAGCGCGCGACGAACGGCGTAATCACGCCGAAGATCCCGGGCATCGCTGCGGGAAGAGTCCCGAGCGCCACTCCCGAGATGCAAAAGACCTGGCCACTCGCCGAGGCGCTGGTGAAAACGGCATGCGACCGCGGGGTCGTGATAGAGCTCCTTCTGACATGGTCAGAAGTCGATGCGCATCGCGATCCGTGCAGGTTTTGCTGCCACCAACGCCAGCAGAGGCCCTGGCACACGCGCAGTTGCTCCCCGACTTTCCTCCCACTACGGGGAAACTCGACGAATGGAGAGCCACTATCCGAAGCCTTGTTGCGGTGGCCAACAAATATGAACCAAGTCCGGTGGGGCCCCCGGGTCGATGCTCCGATGGAGTCCCGCGGACCAGTGGCGGAAAAGCCGGCGGCGCCGCGACCACGGTGCATTCACCTCTTCCCCATCCGGTACCGCGGATGCCGGCTCATCGCGACATCACGGGCGACGACATCTCCATAGCACCGTCTGACCCGCGGACCCACTGTGACCAGCGCCAAGTTCTTCGGGAACGAGCCCATGAAGATGCTCGAACCACTATTGAGCGCCGGCGCGGAGCGCGCCACAAGTCAGACAGGCAAGCAGGGCCTGCTGTGAACCACCCGGCCCCGGAGAGCCCTGGAGGCCTACCTTATGAGGTAGGCTGTCTGGCTTTTACCCGTGAGCTGCAGCAGTTCCAGTGGCCCACTCACCGCACCTTCAAACCTGACGTTGGCGAAAAGTACAACGGCAAGACTCACCCGTATGAGTTCCTCAGCATCTACACCATCGCGATGCAAGCCGCCGGAGCCCGCGATGATAAGGTGCTTGCGAATTACTTTCCATTGGCTCTTAAACCCAACGCCATGTCGTGGTTGATGCACTTGCTGGTAGACTCTCTTTCCTCCTGGTCGGATTTGTGCCATGAGTTTGTGGGCGCCTTTACTGGAGGTCACCAAGCCCATGGCCAAGCAAGCGACCTGCATGTCATTCCCCAGAAGGGAGGCGAGAGTCTGCGCAAGTATATACAGAGGTTCAGCCGGGTACAGTACAATATCCCTGATGTTCACCCTGCCGCCATCATCAGCGCGTTCCATCAGAACGTGCGTAACCGCAAGATGCGCGAAGAACTGGCAATGAACAAGGTGAAAGATGTGGCAGAACTCTATTTTCTTGCTGACAGATGTGTCCGAGCAAAAGAGGGAAGGAAGTACCCCGGCGAAGATGCCGGCATGGAAACCGACTCCTCAGATGAGGATACTGCTGCCCCGGTGAAGAAAGGCCAGCGCCGCAACAGGAAGCGCAAATGTAAAGTTGTGCTTGCCGTCGAGGGATCTGACAATGCCGGCTCCGCCAAGAAAACCAAGGAAGATGACCCCGGCAAGGAAATTGCCGGATGTGTCGCCTGCCGGGCCTTGGTGGCTGCCGAGAAGCCAGG